CAGCCGCCGCCCTCAGAATCGCCGTCGCCCCCGCCGCCGCCAGCATCGCCGTCGACCCCGCCGCCATCCGTGTCACCGTCGCCGCCGCCTCCCTCGGCATCGCCCTCGCCGCCGCCGCCGTCCGCCTCACCATCGCCACCGAAGCCACCCGCCTCACCATCGCCGCCGCCTCCTTCCGCATCGCCGTCGCCACCGCCTCCGTCCGCCTCGCCCTCGCCGCCACCTCCTTCCGCCTCGCCGTCGCCACCGCCTCCGTCCGCGTCGCCCTCGCCGCCGCCACCCTCCGCCTCACCATCTCCGCCGCCTCCGTCCGCCTCGCCCTCGCCGCCGCCTCCCTCGACCTCGCCGTCACCACCGCCTCCGTCCGCCTCGCCCTCGCCGCCGCCTCCCTCCACCTCACCGTCACCACCGCCTCCGTCTCCACCCCCGCCCTCGCCGCCGCCTCCCTCCTCGCCGCCGTCCCCGCCTCCCTCCTCGTCGCCGTCCCCGCCTCCCCCGTCTTTGCCTGATCCATGCTCAGTAGGGCCCTTGATGGCCCCGATCGACTTCCTTTCCAGCAACGTATTGTACAACAACCTCAACGGCGTGGGGCCGACCACCACTGACCCAACGCAAATCCTTGTCTCGAACGTCGGCTTCACGACCCCCACGTCTGGAGCCACAATGGGCATGCGCATCGTGTCCGACTCGGTGTATCAAGCCCACAAGCCGAAACGGAATGGACCCAATGCGAGGGGTTTCTTCGTCCTCAACATTCGCGGCGAGGTGGACACCATCCTCAACTTCACATTCGTCGACGACAACTCGCAGGACCCGGTGACGGTGCCGAATTTTGTGATCTCCATCTACGACTTTGACAGGGGCTGCAGCGGCCAGTTGGCTGGCTTGCGTAACAAAACGTGCGATGGCGGCAGCTTTGATCTCGGCGAGGTTGTGATGGCCAAGAGCTCGACCGCAGACCCCGCGCAAGGCTTTGACACGTACATCACGTCCGGCGGCACGTCAGAGGTTGAGATTGGCGCCGTCACTGGCGGCTGGACGAGCTTCAGCGCCACACTTGCGGGAACCGGAGCTGACAACCCTGGTAAAGTTCAAGGCCTGACTGAGGACCAGCTGAACAAGGCTGTGGGCCTCTACTACAGGGATACATCGAGCTTTCAGCTTAGAGTCCGCCTGTTCCCTCCCCCCGCCTTCAATGCAACCTTAACCGACACCGGGAGGAACATCTTGCTGTCGGGCGTGGTGTTGGACTTTCCGGGTTGTCCGCCATCTATGCCGCCGTCCAGCCCTCCGCCTCCCTCGCCGCCGCCACCAAGCCCACCTCCACCCAGCCCACCGCCTCCAAGCCCGCCTCCGCCCTCGCCTCCACCGCCAAGCCCGCCCCCTCCGAGTCCGCCGCCTCCGTCGCCCCCACCGCCCTCGCCTCCACCGCCCAGCCCGCCACCTCCGTCGCCGCCGCCGCCCTCGCCGCCGCCGCCCTCGC